GCGCGTCGAGTCGACGACGATGGCTCCTCCTGCTCGCAAGATGGCAGGGACCACATGCAGGTTGGAACGCTTCAAGCTGAAGCTCCACTGGTGCGTGTGACCGTCGGTGGACTTGAAGTACGATACAGCCGACGTGATGGCAGGATCGGTGTACCAGGCTCCACAGCGCAGGTTGGCCGTGACCAGCAGCGAAGCGTAGCGATAGTGAACACGGCGCACAAAGTCAGCATCTGCGGCGATGCTGTGCAGCTTGTTGAAGATGTGTCTCGACTCGCGCTTGATCCGGTCGCTGTGGGTCCATTGCGAGCATGCCGCCCGTTTGGCGCTCGCTGCGCTGGTGGCGGAGGTATCCGCCGGCTCTGTGGATGTCATGTCGTCATGCTGTGAGGTGATTGTGGTTGAGGTGAGGCAATCGGAATAAGACTGCTGACGAAAAGGGCTAATTGGACTGGTGGAAGACAAAAACCGGACGTGCAGGCCTTGCTTGAAGCCGTGGACCCTGAATGCGGAGCATGACCGGGCCAATTCAGCGGCATGCCGCTATCTACCGAAGAGGTCAGGATAATATGAACCTCGGGATGACTCTGGGCTTGCTCACACCTTCTTTGCACAGACAAAGCGGGCCAAAGCAGCTCGCTCAATCCATCTGATGCTGCAATCTCACTATTCTCTCCGCGAAACGCGATCTGAGGAGCGCGAGCCCAAGCCACGCCGAGAATGAGTCTTGTCCGCCTCGCCTTGTTCTGACGCCGCAATCGCTCAATGAATGGCATCGCCATCAGCTCCCCAGGATTCTCTCACGGCGCTTAACCCTCGAGTGACGCTCATCAACAGGGCTGCGCAGACGGAAGTTCACGGGTTTCCAATCGATGCCGGATGAATGCGCGTCTGGCGCTTGTATTGCTTGTACCGTGACCGACGGATGCGCATACAAAAGCGTCTAGAGCTTCGCCGAGTCCTTGAACTCGCCGATCTCGAGATCCTTGCCGACCTTCTCGAGCACTTTCTCGCCGTGGTAGGTCCAGAAGGCCTCGGTAGCGTCCTTGCCGCAGTTCTTGAGCAAGATCTTCTTTCCGCCCGGGTGCTGCGCGTGCCCAAGCGAGCCCGATTCACCAGTTCAGGGACGGTCAGCAAGGGTGTTGAATGTCATTGGCTTCCGGGGGATGGTCACTTACGTCGTCAAGGAACTCGGTCACGTCGTAGACCTTGCCGTCAACAGCAACCCATGCCGAGTCGGCTGCATCAACAAAAGGCAGAAGGATGTAAATTTGCAGATGCACAAACGGTGCACGAACGAGCAAAACAGGTGGTGAAGGTCAGTATCCTCTTCAGTCTGCACATATGGTCGCACAAGATATAGCTGAAGCTCACGTACCCGACTTGTGGTTCTTGAGCTCGTTGGCGTCGATCTGCTTTCCCATCTTGGACGATTTTGTAACTGGCGGAATGAGAGGGTTGAAGTGAGAGATACAGCTGCAGAGCAGGATAAGGGCAAAGGCAATGCGGAGTGGTTGGGAGAGTATGGTGAATGGTGGTTGGGGATGATCCAGCCGGCCAGTATGCGTCGATGCTACCGAGGTCCAGTGTGGGGATCGCGCGGCTCACCGGTAGTGCACTCCGCGCGGATAGCCGGTGTTGAATGCGAGACTCACACTGGGCTTTGTTTGCGCGCTCGCTCTCCGATTCACAGACTGCTTAGATCGCGTGCCCGCCCGACGGCGTGCTGACTCTGGTGGCTCGCACGCTGCTGTGCCAAAATCGAAAAATGGATTTCTAAACACCTCGCCTGCATTGGTCGATGCCTTCATCTCGGTTCAAGTATAATCTGGTATCGACTCGGCCGACAGGCGCGCCGGCTGTGAACCTTGGCGAAGATCATGCTGGCGCCACGATGCCCCACCGCCAGATCCATTCGCCTGCCTCTTCCACCATCTCTTCGGTCACTTCATGGCCGACGCCGGGTCGTCGATGAATCTTGAGCCCCGGCATCTCGCCCTTTGGACCCGACGGTTCGCCGACAACGAGCGCCTTGAGGAAGTCCTCGTTCCAGTCCCACAGCACCAGCTTGTCGTTGGCGCCACTGAGCACGCAGATCTTCTTTCCCCAGAACGGATTGCGACGCGCGTCGAAGCTGTCGTACGGTGTCTGAGCTGGGTCGATCTTGTCAACCAGAGCCTTGAGGCTGGCTGGCACGTAGGGAGGCGCGTTGGCAACAAACGAGGTGCGTGTGCGTGAAGCGAGCAGACGCGAGTAGTCGGGCATGCCGATGAACGGGACGCCGATGCTGATGCGTGGCTCGTTCGCAAGCACATGCCAGGCTGAATGGCCTCCAAGCGACTTGCCCGTGACGACCCATTCGGCCACCGTGCGTTCGTCGTGCGGGAAGAGGTAAGAAGAAAGAAAGTCGACCACAAAGGAGGCATCGCGTGCGCCGCCGACGATCATGCCGTACAGGTCCATAGCGTGTTGAGTGTTGCCCTGCTTCCATGCCTTTTGTCCCTCGGGATTTGTGGTGCGGTGGCCGTGGTTGCGCGCGTCAAAAGTGACCACAATGTGGTCGCGCTGTATGGACGAGGTGGCGACCATGCCCTCCTCTTGTTGGGCGCGATATCTATCCTTGTCCCGCGCGATGCGGTCATACAGCTGGCGCGCGATCTTTTCTTCGTTGTCGGCCGTGCCACCCCGGCCGTGTAGGTGGATCACGACGCAGACGGGAGGCGGCGGAGGCGCGCTTGCGCGTGAAGGTGCGGGTGTGAGCTCAGATAGGCCGAAAACGTTGACAGGCAGTCCTGCCAGGTCAACGATAGACTTGGAGACGCTGTTTCCATATTTGTAGGAGCTGGGTGCTGATGGTACGCCGTTGGAGCCACCTCCGACAGTCGGGCGGGACGAATTGCGGTCGCCCACTTGCGGGTGTGAAGGGCTCGAAGGCCCAGTAGCAGCCGCCAGCGTCTGCTGCTCCTTGGCCTGCTTCTTCTTGCTAGATTTTCCGAGGCCGAGCACCATCGTTGGAACCGCAACCGATACTTCTCTAGCTTTTGATGAAGCGAAGAGTAGGGAATAGATGGTGGGGGTAAAGCGTCAATGCAGAAGGAAGAGCGGAGCGCAGGTCACTGTCACTTTCGATTGCGCACAGCTGCGCCTGCGCAAAGAGTGGAGGCGCAGAGACCAACACCCGACGCACGCCGACCTCCGAGCCCTGCGCAATCTTCGTGCGTGTTACGCCGAATTGGGATTTGGGTTATCTGTTTTTTTTTTCTTCGAATGCGAGGTGGTCGGGACAAGGTCGCCACCAGGCGCAGGAACGAGCAGGCAGAGAAATTGCCGAAATACGTCAGTGCTCAGCAGCCGCTGAGTGGAGAGAAAAAGCGGATGCGGATGCGGATGCGGACCAAACAAAGCTTGCCTTGGACGCACGTTCCAGTTTTCACAGCGTCCAGACCGCCTTTTTTTCTGCATGCACGGCCCATGCAGCCACGGTCCACGAGCTCAGTCCAGAAAAAACACACCCACACGACGCAGGGAACGACTTGCCAAAAATGGGACGCAGCATCAAGCCGTTCTCCACCGGATGCTTGTGCGGAATGCGAACGAAGGCGTCCACTCGTTCACCGACTGCGACTTGGGAATCTTCCACGTCGACATCCTTTCTTTCTGACCCCATCCATCCGTTCCCTGGTCCCATCCGTCTTCACTCTTTTCGGCCCCTTGCGACCTCTCCATCGGCTGTCGTTGTTCTGGAATACCTCGGAGCTGCACACAAGGTCACGACGATCTAGCTGCTCCTCCCACGCGCAAGTTTAGATTGGACCCAAGGCTGGAGGCCGTGCAATCACGATGGCGAAAGGATCCATTCTTCCTATCCTGACCCTGGCCGTCGCCGGAGTGCTGGCCTTTGCAGCTACCACGTACACTGCATTCCTGCTCTCGCCGGACAACAAGCTTCGTGCTCTTGCGCAGTCGTGCAATCTTCCGTCGCGCCAAAAGCTGCCCACCGACTTCACCAATGGCGCACTGCCCCTGCTCGACAACACGCTCTGCACCACAATGGGCTTCTTCAAGGCCAACACGGCCAAGCGTCTCAACGTCGGCCTATTCTCCATCATGATCGCCTTCACGCTCCCTCTTTCCTACCGCCTCTCCTTCCAGGCGGCCTCGCCCAACCGCAAGTCCTTGCTCAACTCGGGCGTCTTCCTTGTGCCTCTCAACATCATCGGCGCAGCTGCCGGCGTCGGCCCATGGTCGTGCCTTTTCTACACATTTGTGTACCTTCCTGCAGCCTACAGCTCCATGAAGGCCTCCAAGGCCTCGGTGCTCCCCGTGCCAACGCCCTCGTCAAACATCTACATTGCCAACTTGGTGCACGTCCTCTTTGGTACCACCGTGGCTCTTGCCGTCTTTGCCGATCCCGAGGGCGCTCTGTGGCACCATGCTGCGCTCGCTATTCAGTTTGCCGGCCTCTCCTACCTGCCGATCGCCTGGCTCAGCTTGCGCACACCCAAGGTCAACGACGAAGTCGAATCCCGCAGCGTCATTCGCCGCTTCGATGCCGAGGGTGTCAGCTACGCCTTCGAGCGTACCTGGTCGTACTATCGCAAGATGGCCGCCTTCTCGGCCTTCATCTACTGGTACGGTCTCAACCGCATCATCCGCGGTGTCTGGGTCAACGGCGAGAGGCTCGATGCATTCTCGTACTTCTGGTTCGGTGATGTCGGCGGCGTAGCACTGGCACTCATCCTGCTCGTGGCAGCCGAGAAGACAACGTTCAGGAACAAGGACGCTATCCACCCCGTCAGCGGAGAGCCCAGGTCGCCTCTGGATATCGAGTGCGACAAGGCCATCGCCAAGGCGCCCGCTGGCTCGCCGTGGCTGGAAAAGACTACCACTGGCTTTATTGTTGCATCGCTCGTCGGAGGCCCAGGTTTTGCTGCGAGTATGTGGTGGTGCAGCGGCGAGGAAGAGCTGGGCTGGAAGGCACGCAAGTCTTGGAGGGAAACCGTGGCCGTCGACGGCAAAAAGGCAAAGTAAGCGCTTTCTTACCTCCGATGGATACGCAGTACCTCTCTCCGGCGGACGCCTCGTCACGTTTCCAGACCGAGCTGGCGGCGTCATGTCTCGCCACGCCCGACCAAAGCATCACTCTGCAAAAGTCGTCATGCGGTGTCTTTGGAATCTTCCGTTGGTCTGGTCTTTCGTTCGTCCATTCCACTTTAAGCTATTTGAACTGGCAATGCCAAATGTTCAAGCCAAAGGCAAGCCCATTTCTTCGAGCGGCGTTCCAGCTGTCAGAACAAGCTTGGATCGCGACGAGAACGAGTTGAACGATGAGATGAATTTAACGAAGATGTTGAGAATGTGGAAGACTTTGGCCTCGGCCAATTGCATCTGGAGGGACTCGGCGCGCCGGAGGCATCGTGTGCGACACCCCCAATGGCACGATACGCAAAGACCTCTTGTTGACCGACTGCAAGGTAGCTACCCTCCTCTGGAATGCTCAGACCTGTCTGAGCGGCAGCGACATCAGTACCGCCTTGGGCTGCAAGCCAATCAATCCTCTCGAATACTTCAGCCCCAGCGTGATGGTATGGCCGTGGCCGTAATCAAATCCGGACCACCGCAACAGCGGGAGAAACGTCAACGTCGCACACTCAATTCGAATGATTCACACGACAAGCTGTACAGTTTCACTTGCTCACAATATCATAGCTATACGATAGCATTGTCTGGCTCGGAGTGTGAAGGCAGCCAAATTTGGAAGCCGTGTGTGTGTCACTTGGACGTGGTTGAGGGGCGCTTCACCTGACGCGCCAGTGGTGAGCCGGGCGTTTCCGAAGTGGAAGCCGCCTCTACAGCTGTCGTGCTGCTCGACTCTGCGGTCGGGGCACAATCCTTTCCAGAGACCGTAGAATTGCTTCGCCCAGCAGCTGTTGCTCCCGCCAGAAGTTGCGGGGCGAGACCCGCCATACCGCCCGCCGATAGAAAGGCTGAGGCTAGCAACGTCATCCGTCCTTCCATGCGACTCAGGTCTTCCTTTAGCGCCTTGGTCATCTTGAGCACCTCTTGGACCATGTCGCGCGGGTCCATGACGTTCTGCTTCCCTTGGCGCTGGATCATCTCGTCCCTCTTGGCATTAGCGTCCTCGAGAGCGCGCACTTTCCCTTCTTTGGCTCGCAGAATCGCATCGCGTTGTCGCCGAGTCTCGGCGTGACGGTCGTCCAAGGATTCGGTCGCGTCATCCGCAGCTTCGCGGGGCCTTTTGCGCTGCGCGGCCGCTCCGGACGGGAAGTCGTTGCTGGTTTCGGGTCTCGGGTGAGTTGGTGGCGTTGCTGCAGTCATAGTCATGCCCCGCCTCGGTGGGATAGGCTGCTGAGAGACCTGCTTTGGCGGCGTAAACGGCTGCAAAACCCGGTTGGGTGGCATAGACTGCTGTGCAGCTTGCTTTGACGGCGCAGACTGCTGTGAAATGCGTTTTGACGCCGCCTGCTGCTGTAAGAGGTCATATTTAGCCAGAGATGCTAGGCTCTGTTGGCGCATCGCAGCAAGATTCTCCTCGCCAGGGCCAAAGTAGCGGTCCAAGTCCGATTGGACCACCTCATCTAACATGCGAAGGACCTCGGGCTCGTATTTGTTGAAGTGTGGCTCCCAAGTCTTGGTCGAGGAGGGATGACTTCTCTGCGACGACAGTTCTTTCCACAGAAGCTTCAACTCGTCCACATGCAGCTCTTCGATATCGCCGCAGTACTGGGTCCGAAGCGCGGTCTGCACCTCGCTGGCGACGGCGGACCATGCTTTGTTCTTCTTGTACGCGGTTTTGTGCTGCTCGGGGTCATAAAAGTGAACAGCTCGGATGAGGAAAGACAAAGAGAACTGATTCCAGGGAAACATTAGCCAGTCGGTTGGTACAATATTGGCTAGCATGTTCTCCTTGGTCAACAGTGGTCGTGGAGCAAGTGGGACTCGCGAGGACGTCTGCGGCGCGGACACAGACTGCGGGAGGGGGCCGGTCTTCGGCGCTGCGGGCGATAGGACTTTTGCACTCGCGGCGTTGCGCAACGCAAGCTGCTGAACCATCCAATCCCTAGTTTCGTCGGGTGTCATGGTGGTCTAGAGGAGCTGGAGATCAACGGTGTTCGGGAATGTAGCCGAGTGATGGTGGTCGGACGCAGAGTGTGCACACGAACGATGCCCTGAAATGTGGGTGAGTGAAGGAGGTTGTGGGCGGAGTGTGAACGTGTCTCAGGAGCTACGGCCGTTTCATTTCGATATTCGTCACGCACGGCGCAAAGCGTGCTAGCACCAGTGGTGCGCGTGACGATGGCACCGGTTGCTTTGCGGATCTGTGTCGATGCATCTACACAAGCTGCTGGACCCTCTCTGCTGTCGATGGATACGGCTTGTGCCAGCTAGGTGTGACGGCTCTCGGAATTCTCTTCCTCCACACGGCATGCGAGGCAAGCCTCGTTGGTGGTGACCTTCAAACCACCACTGCCCCCTGGAACTTGGACTTCGGAGACGCGCTTCGCCGATTTTGACAGACGCTTCTTCGGAAGTGGCCATGCCGTTGGGACGCTGGCTTTCCAGTGATGCGCTGCGTTCCAGCTCGTCTAAGACTCCTCGGCCACAACGACTGGCCTCCGATTCGCCCTCCGATGTGCTGTGGGAGCAGCTCGAAGCACGACGCCCCGCACCGTTGCGGTTTGTGCTGCACCACTCGCGGCGGCCGAACGGCTCGTTGTGCCCCTGTCTCGAGGTGAATCTCTCCTCTTCTTCGCCTTCCACCCCGTACTACACCGTGACCCGCATCTTGGATCCCGAGCACCGCGTGCCCTACATCACGCTTTGCCCAATCCTGGCCGCCGCGGGGTTGACGATTCTGCAGGGTCTGCTACGCTTCGATCTCACGCCCCCTGCATACGATGTATCGCTGGCCGGCCTCGAGCCGTGGGACGATCTTTGGATCTCGCTGCCTCTAACTAGATCCATCGCAGCAGAACTCGGCCTGCTGCACAATCTGGCGGCGATTCTCGACCCGACCACGAGCCTGGCGTGGAGTCTGGACGAGTTCGCCGAGGGGCTCTTGCACAACTGGCGTGTACCGCAGGCAGTCGTTGATGCGGCTTCCTACTCGACGGACGCCATCACACGCCCCGATGTCGGCTTTGGCAACGTCCTGATGCTTCCCAAAGGCCAGCAGATCAAGACGCTTGTCTCTGCGGACTTGCGGGCGACCATCGTCGGAAAAGCGGAAGCGCGCCGGAAGCAGCCGCAGTTTCAGCTGCAGCAGAAGCTCGTCCAGTGGTCAACTCAACTTCACTCCATCTGGCTCGATTTTTCGAATCTTGCAGATCAGTATGATGGAGACAGTGGCGAACATAGGGCTCCGTTGCTGTGCGAATTGCAGCAGGAAGTGGCTCCACCCACCTCGACCGACATGCTCGAGTGGACTCAGCTCGTCTCTGCGAGGATGACTGGGCTGGCAAGCATTGCGCAGCCAGACGATGCAGAGGGACTGTTGGAGCCGCTCTCGCTCGCAAATGTCGCGGCACTCAGACCTGGCAACCCTCCGCTTGGCTTCGGTATGGCTGCAACCCACGAAGGCGCGGACGAGGAAGTGGCGTTGCGGCATCTGCAAGCTGTGCTAAGGGGCAAACTGGCGCTGCTGCAACAGATGAGCCTTCTCACGCTCGGACCTTTTGCATGCGCTCCAGACCTTGATCCCGCCCAGGACACTGTGGAAAGGGGCGAGCCTAGCTTAGTCTCTCCAGAACGAGAGCGAGCAAATCAACATCAATCGCAGCCAGTAGCAGCCCAGCTCACTGAGCTGGCTAATGCGAGCGATATCGCTGCGCTGAACGCCAAAGTCGACGGGTTGGCCGCTAAGCTTGAGCGCTGGTTTGAGACCCCCCACAGGACCGGGGTCGCCAACGCTGCCACAACGGGAGCCAACCTGAACCGGGAAGCCGACTCAGGAAACACTCAGGACACCTCACGCCCGGCACTCAGCCTATGGTCGACGCTCGAAATGCTGCCCTGGCCACTGCTTGTGCTGCCGCTTTCGGTCATCTTGGTCCTGAGCACGATTAAAGCGATGTTCGTGTAGGCAAGAATGCTAGTCTACATTATACCCCCACAACTACAGGCAGCTTAAGCTTGAAGAGCCGCGCAGACGCCTGCTTTACCGCCATCCAAGGGGCCCATTGCCTCGACGGTGTGCCAAAAGGCGTAAGCGCGTCGGATCGAGATGTAGTGCGCAGCAGCTGCGGCGAGGATGAGCATATGAAAGATCTGATGGCTTGCGCCGATCATATCGAACCTCCCCGGCGCGAACCTCTCCGGAACCCTGGCTGCGTACAGCAGGGCACCGACGACGTACAGCGCTCCAGAGAGGATCAAAAATCGCAGGCCCATGGTCTCGGTGATGGTGCGGTATCCGTAGATCTGGACGACGTGCGCCACCGGAATGACTGCCGAAAGACCCAGCACCAGAAACACGCCTGTGCGATACGGTCGGTATGCAGGGGTGGCGTACGAGGGAGCCAGTACGACGTACATGGCTAGGGCGCCGAGGGTGGTGATGGAGACCGAGTAGACGAGCTGAAAGTGCGGATGGCAGTAGAATCCGTAATGCAGAGCGGGAAGGAAGGAGCCGACGATCATAACGACGATGCCGACATAGTCGAGCTTGTTGAAGCGCTTCGAGATGGCGTGCGAGTGACACTGAATCGCATGGTACGTGGCCGAAAAGCCCAGGCAGACCACCGAGCCAATGAAGAATGCGGTAAAGCCGGCTACATCCAGCATGTCCGGCCCGCGGACAACTAGCTCGGACGCCTTGGAAGCCAGCACTGCTGCCCCGCTAGATGACGAAGACAAGAAGGAGATCGCTTTACCGAGCAAGCCTGGTGTCGCGGCAGCACTGTGGACGGTAGAAGAGGAAGTGGTGGCGGAGGGGTAGGAAGCAGATGCGAAGCGAAGCACCTTGCCTGACGTGGTGGTAAAAGTAAGACTAGAGGGATAGAAGATGGGATGGTGTGAAAGAGGTCGGATGAAGCTCGGGAGGTGGCCGAGATGCTGGAGCAGATGACTTGACGACAGGCCCACCGAGAAGACGGCGCCCCACATGTGCGAGTGAATATTGACTATCAAAACAAAAGCAAAGCAGCGTCAGATCTCACGTACCCGACTTGACGAAACAGACTCATTCGAACAAAATGTACTTACCAGTCTCGTTGTGCCAGTAGGCCCAAACGCTGCGCCAGCACTTGTAGACGGTGCCGTGATCAAAGGTTTTTAGGCTTGGATCGGGGTGTGTTGCTCCTCCGGGGCGACGGTAGCCCCTTACGATCCATGCGTTGTCCTGTGCCCAGCTCGGGAGCTGCGAATGATCAACCAGATACGGGTTAGAGCCGTGTGCTGCCAGACTGTGAGCCTCTCCCGCCGCCGCCTTTGGTGTGCCGTTGCCATCGGCAGCGAGCGTGCCAATGGCAGCGGAGGTGGGTGGGTGGGATGGGGCGGTCGCACCTTGAACTCCGGCGGCCACTTTGAGCGTCGTGGAGAGCTCCTTGACGAAGACGTAGGCGATGATGGCGGGGAAGAGGATCCAGAGACCGTTGGGAAGGATCCAGTAGACGATGAGCGTGTACCAGTCGTTGTGGCCAGTCTTGCACCAGCCGCAGCAGTAGTCCTACCGAGCGAACACAAGGCAAGCGATGAATGTGAGTCGGTCTGCCTCCCTCCCCTAGTACGCAGGATCTACTTACGTTGAGAACATAGAGAATGGTCTTGCTGAGCGTCATGGTGACAGTGATGAGACCGTAGATGGGAGCGACAGCCCGCGACGAAGGAGTCGCACGCACGTGCACGAGATACACGTAGAAGAGGTTGAGGATGCTTTCGAGGACGTTCATGAGCGTCTGGGCAGCGGGGAATCCATCCTTGGCGTCCCAGGCGGGCAGTCCGTAGATGTAATCGATGTTCATGTAGAGCGAGTACGGCGACCAGAGCCAGTGCAGATCGCCGCCGAGGAAGCTGCGTGGGCGCATGAGGATGTAGCCGATGTCCCAGGCGACGACGAAACTGCTCAAGAAGAGCCATGCCGAGACGAGCGTGCGCGGACGGTGCGTCGCAGTAGCGACAACAGACTTGGCGGCAGCCATCTTGACTGCGATCGAATGCCAAGGGGGAGATAGATGGAGCAACTTGGTGGAGAGATGAAGAGAAAGTGTGAGGAAGGGTCGGACGGCGGTTACCGCGTTTTTAACGCGGATGGAAGATCCGCGTGCGGGGAAGCGGAATAGAAGACGGCGGCACGAGCGGGCGCCACGAAAGGGTCCAAAGCGGCGTTCTCTCAAAAATGGCCTGATGCGGCCACCAAATACAGTCTGCAGCCACGCCCGCCCGCTAGTCAAAACGCGGTCAAAGCCCGGCAGCTGGCCGCAGCGGGTCATCTGGCTCGGCCCGATCGATCCAACAAGCGAGCGAGCGCTCACTCAAGAGCCCGCACGGTAGAAGGCGCGAAAGTGCATGTGTGCGAGAATGGTAGATGGATTCTATCTTTGCAATGCATAAAAGTACAGCCATGATGTCGGCAAGGATGCAGGAAGGGTGCGAGCAAGATGTGGGGTGCAAGCCGGGATGGGCTCGACTCAGGCATCGTCCTCGTCGTCGTCAAAAGCGAGACCGTCGGTGCGTTGTTGGAGCTCTTGTTGCTCCTCCTGTTCTCGCCTCTCCTTTTCGCGCTGCTCGCGCGTGTAGAGGCTCCAGTCGACCTCCTGTGCCTCTTCGTCGACGGCCTCGTCGTCTTCGAACGTGCCGCCCTTTTCGAAGAGCTGCTTTCCGCTCTGCTTGACCTTGCCCTTCTTGTAGTCTTCCCTCTCCTTGGCCGACATCTTGGCCATCTTGGCCTCCTCTTCCTTCCTTTCCTTCTCCGCCATCTCCGCCAGGAACTTGACGCGCCACTCGGCGAAGCGTTCCGGCGTCACGGCGGTGCCGCGGAACTTTTCCGCCTCGGCCTCGATCTCGGCCTCGCGCTTGGCGCTCGCCTCGGCTTCGATTTCGGCGACACGCCTTTGGACGAGCGTTGTGACGCTTTCGCGAAGATGCGAGGCGAGCGTAAAGACCATAGCCATGCCTAGTGATTCAGCAGCTACCTCGTCAAGGCCTTGTTGGAGCTCAATGACTCCGGGGCTGTCCGAGTCGGGTGCCTCTTCGGCATCGTCGTCGTCAGACACGACAGGACCGAGGACGCCCTTGGTATCGCGGAGCACGTGAATCGACATGTTGGGTGCTGCATCGGGATAGTCGGGCGTGTACTGGATGTGGAGCGAGAGGACGATGGGCGAGGGTGAGCCATCTTCGACGCTCTCTGTTGGTGCTTCTCCCGGCTCGATGCCGATGGAGAAGAGCAGTGGGAGCACCTCCTCTTCGGGCTCGATGCGGATGTGCAGCTCCTCGCTAGAGATCTTTTCGAGCTCGTCGATGTAAATGCTCTCGAGCACCTCGAGCTCTTCGGCCAGTGTCGCCTCGTATTCTTCTTGCGACGGCATGGATCCGATGGCGTGTGATGACTCCCCAGCTCGTGTGATGATCGTGCAGCGAATGGAGTCCGAAAGGGTGGCCGCCCGAAATACGCAGAGGAGGAGTGTTGTCGATTTTGGCCGAGCAGAAGAAGTGCATTCCATCGTTGGATTTGCGGTGGCTGCTGCGAGCGCTGACTTCCGAGTTCCAGGATGGGCTGCTGCGTTTGCCAGACTCGGGCGAAACGAGACGCGCAGGCACCCGCTGCTCCACCACCGAGAAAAATGGGTGAGCCGGGGCCGCTCCCGAAAAATGTGGAAATCCTGCAGCTGCGTTGAGTGAGTGTTGGCCTGCCTCCTGCACGCGAACCCTGAAGGCAAAGCCAGCCAGCCGAGTGCCGCGTGCCGCGTGAGCCGCTGCTGCTGTTGCTCTGTTGCTGTGATGCGCTGGGCTGCTGCCTATCTTTCGGCAGCGCAAGCACATGCAGTCTCCACTTGCAAGACTGCCACTTGCATATCCACACGCCACACTTGCCCTCCACCACTCTGCCTTCAACCTCATCGTCATCACCCATCGCTGCCATCACCTCGTCTCGCAACATCTCACTCGATCTTGATCGCATCCGGACACTCTTCAATTCCTGACCCTTCCCCACTTTGCACCACCACCACGATCAGCGGCGTCGCTTTCACAAACCCACACAGGGGGAACACCACTTATACAAGAGAGCTAGTCAACTAGCACACTCACACCACATCACTTGGCGACTAGGCGAAACAGTTGGAAGGACTCACGTCTCACTCGCGACCACTGCGCAGCCCTGCGCCTCATCCGACGCCATGGACGACCAGGCATCGCTCGAGATGTCGGCGGCATACGGTAAGCTTTCACCGCGTTTTCTCACTCGGCCTGGTCAGAGACCCGTGCTCACACCACCTGCCCTGCCCACTTGCTCGCTTTACCCGCAGACTTCCTGCTCAAGTTCATCATCATCGGCGAGGCAGGCACAGGCAAATCGTGCCTGCTGCATCACTTCATCCACAACCAGTGTACGTGCCATCCCTGACTGCGATACACTCCATCACCACGCCCTCGCTAAAGTCGTCATTCTCACGCTGCTTTGAAACTACCGCAGTCAAGGACCAGTCCGCGCACACCATCGGCGTCGAGTTCTCGAGCCGCCTCATCAAGATCGGAAACAAGAGCGTCAAGCTCCAGCTCTGGGATACCGCAGGCCAGGAGCGCTTCCGATCCGTCACAAGGAGCTACTATCGCGGCGCGGCAGGTGCGCTCCTCGTCTACGACATCACAAAGTCCGTACTCTCCGGTTACTCAATCTTGTGCGAATCATGCACATACTGACTCCATTTCCGAACCTGTCGCCCATACCCCATTTACAGACGATCCACGTTTGAGCCGCTGTCCCGCTGGCTCACAGACGCGCGCGCGCTGGCTTCGCCCGACCTGGTCGTTGTCCTGGTTGGCAACAAGACAGATCGTGGCGACGACGAGCGCGAGGTAGGCTATCTCGAAGCGAGCAAGTGGGCCAACGAGAACGGCGTTCTCTTCCTCGAGACCTCTTCCATGACCGGCGAGAACGTCGAGGCGCCATTTGCACTCGCAGCAAGAAGCATCCTGCTCGCCATCGAGTCAGGCAAGCTCGACCCGGAAAAGGCGGGGTCGGGTATTTCGTACGGCGACCGCGCGCTCAGGAGGGTTGGCAGCGGCAGCAGATTCAGCTTCGCCGATATGGACCCCAGCACGTTCCGCCCACAGAGGAGAGGCGGGCCAGCACTACGCATCAAGGAGGCCATCGGCGATAAGATGGGTGGCTGCTGCTGATCGCAATCCCCTTGTCATTGACAATGTCTTGGTCGCATTTATGGTGTACCCCGACCCCGAGCATCGTCGCACGTCTTGCCGCATATATACCAGGTCACCACTGCTGTCAATTTCCACAGTCTTTCGTTGTTCAAGGCTGCAAGCTAGCATTAGGAGGAACGAGACTCGGCCACTTGTAACGGACCCTGGCAAGAAAAGGAGGGGGAAGGATTAGGCCTTGGTGGCGGGATCGGCGCGAGCAGCCTGGGGCTGTTTGAGCTGGTCAACAGCGGTGTCCTTAGCCGCGTCGTTAGGGGTGATGAGGGCGCTACGCATGGTCTTAACAAACGTGTTGTAGTCGGAGAAGGCCTTGTGGGCGGTAGGCGAAGGGGGGGTGTCGAGGTGGAGCTGGGCGAAACGGGCGTCCTGAATTCCCCAACCGCGGTGGCTGGCGACCTTTTCGATGGTCTTGTGCAGCACAGGAGCTTTCTGTTTGATGATCTCCTTCTTGGTCACCTTGCCCAGTTGCTGGCTACTGGCTGCCTGGACCTGGTCGAAGAGGTGGTTGACGTCGTCGGCATGGAAAAACGATCCAAGCATCTCGTCGACCGAAATGATGCCATCGTGGTTGAGGTCGCGAGCATCGCTAAAGGCGTTGTGTTCACCAGAGACCTCGGCGGTGTGGACACCATTGACCTTGGAGCTCGACGAGAGCGAGACCGAGACCTTGGTCGAAGTGGTGGGGAGGGCGGTGCCGGATTCGAAAATGTCCACGGTCCAGCTGATGTTCGACAGCACACCTGGGTGAAGCGAAGCGGCATTGCCGGAGAGGATCTCGTCCACGTCGCTCGACGACAGTGCGCCTCCAGAATGCGAGGCGATGACCAGCTCGGCCTTGTTGCGCATCGTGAGTCGCATCGCCTCCGCATGCTGCAGCGACAAGGTCGCATCGCTATCCATGCTCAGCTTCATGCCCGGATCCACCTTCTTCTCCTCGGCCAGCGAGGCGGGCTTATCGGCCTGGTCCGACTGGGCTGCTGGAGCAGGAGCGTCCTTCGCCACGTGTGCAGTCGCAGCCTTCGCTCCAGATGCATGAGCAGCCTTCGCTCCGGGTGCAGGTGCGTCCTTGGCTGCCGGTGCAGGAACAGCGTTTGCTGCGGGTGCGGGCGCAGCTTTGGCTTCCATACGAGCGTGAAGCCTGACCATCTTTCTTGCGCCTTCTGGATGCGTCGCCACAGCGCCATGGCAAACGGCCAGGACAATGGCCACGCAGGCCAAAGTGACGGCTTGAGATGATGCCTTCATGATGCTCGCGTCCAGCAGTATAGCTTCGTTCGATCGGTCCAGCAATCGTCGTGGTGGTGAGCTAGGTCCCACAGCAGCCCCAGGTGCTCTTTAAAGGCTGTTCCGGGGCGGAAGAAAAAGCACGTATGGCGAGGCATGCGTGCCCCCTGCCGAAATGAATCGGGGTCCACGCCACAACTACGGCAGGTGGGCGCAAGAAGCCACGGTTGCGTCCGACTTGTTCATGAAGTCGATCCTCGCTTGCCGCACCTAGCCGCCACCATTCATAAATATACCCACCAAGCAACCACCGATGACACCGCACAGCAAAAACACCTCTGACTGGACTGACACTTTTGAATTCGCCGACTCGAGGCTGCTTTCTGTTTCTACCACGGGATGATGTCGTTCTTGTAGTCCCTGAAGGAGCCATTGTCTTCCTTGCCCAGACCGCCCACGACGTCGACCAGATTCTTGGCTGCCTCGCTTGCCTCGAACTGACCCTTGCTCTTGTCGAGTGGCTTGTCGCTTCCCTCGCCGCCGGTAAAGTCCTTGGACAGATTGCTGCGCACGGTGCCCGGGTGGAGCCCGACCGAGATAGCAGGAACGCTTCGCAGCTCGAGTTCTTTGGATAGCGTCCTGATCAGCTGGTTCAACGCAGCCTTGCTGGCGCGGTACGAGTACCAGCCGCCCTTGTTGTTGTCGCCGATCGAGCCGACCCTGGCACTGAGACTGGCAATGACGCAGAGGTTTTCCGGAAGCACACCCTTGGCAAGGTCTTCCGACTGACCCTCGAGCATCTTCTTAGCCTCGGCGCCACGCGGGACGAGCGGCACAAAGTGCTTGAAGCCCATGAGGTGCGAGAAGGTGTTGACGGCGAACGTCTCGGTGAGATGGTCGTAGGTGATCTGCGAGAGGTTCTTCTCGGCATGCAGAATGCCATTGATGTTCCACAGCGTCTTGAGGCACGACGAACCGAAGCGCGACGAGACCTCGGAGGCGACCTTGTCGTAGGATTCTTCCGACTTGATGTCGAGCGAGAAGGTGTGCAGCCGCGACGAGTCCAACGAGGAATCACCGGATAGAATGGCGTCCTTGGCGCGAGAAGCATCGCGCGAGAGCGCTACCACTTGCAGCCCGGTACGCGAAAGGTACTGCTTGGCGATCTGCGCGCCGATGCCTTTTCAAATCATTCCAATCGCATACAAAGCGAAGCCTGTTGTCAGCTACAAGGTCGTGTCTTTCTCTTTGCTTCGTTGGCACCACTTACCGCTTCCTGTGCCCTGAATGATGGCGACGTTGGGAGCCATGTTGGAGATGTGCTTCGATGATTGTTTGAGAGCGAGATTTCTTGTCGTGGGTGTGCTTGTCGTGTGTGGTGGTCCGGAGAAAGGAAACGCCTGCTCCCGCAGCGGGTGAGATCCTCAGGAAGACAGGCACGGCCGATTCCGATGAGGCAGCGGTGACAGCAGACTTACGCTAAGCTGGCCAACATCGCCTGCAGCTGTCAAAAGTCAGCTGCATCTGGGCATCTGGCGCAGGAAAATTCGTGATGAGTGGGATTTCAGGGTCCTCCTTTCTTCGCTTGCGGTCTCCTCCAGTCGCGTCATCCCACAGCTCGCAACGACCTCCACACAAGCCGCCCATCACGCACGCCCACTCTGCTCGCCCTACGCCTATGCCGGGGCCATGTCAAGTCAATCCCACAAGCCTGCGGATGTCTGGCATGAGCAATCAAACGAGTGCGATAGTCGTGTTGTCTGCATAAGTACAATTCGAACAGGTGCGGGTCTAGACGTGCAAAGGAACACAGATTAGTCGTCGTCGAAGGTGATCTTCTTGGCCTTGCCTGGGACCAGCTCCTTGAAGTGGTCGCCGTAGCTCGAGTGGGTCTTCTTCTTGATCGTGGTGGGGAACTTGGTAAGATCCTCGGGCACTTTCTGGTCGGCATCCTTGAGCACGCGGATGAGCTCGCCTGCGTGCGCCTTGTCCATCTCGGTGAAGAAGGTGAGACTCTTGCCCGTCTTGCCACCGCGACCGGTACGGCCGATGCGGTGCACGTAGTCCTCGATGGTGAGCGGGAAGGTGTAGTTGATGACGTGCTCGACGTTGGGGATGTCCAGTCCACGCGCCGCCACATCGGTAGCCACCAGCAGCGGCGTCTCGGCCGTTTTGAAGCGCTCCAGCGACGCAATGCGCTCGTTCTGGCCGAGATCGCCATGGATACCCGACACCTTGAAGCCGCCACGGCGGAGGGTCTGCTCGATGCGCTGAGCCTCCTTCTTGTACAGCGCAAAGATGAGGATCTTGTCATTGGAACGCTGTGCGTTGACCGATCGGAGGAAGTCGTTGAGTCGACGCTCCTTGGCATAGCCGTCCGCGAGCACCTCGACCGTCTGCTCGACACGTCGGTTTGCAGAGAGCTCGTCCGAGCCCACCGTGACACGGACGGGGCCGTTCATGAACGACTCGGCCAGTCCGCGCACCGCAGGTGGCCATGTCGCCGAGAACATCGACGTGTGACGACCCTGCTCGCGCGACTGGCACATGCCGATAATGGCACGGATATCGGGCTCGAAGCCCTTGTCGAGCATGCGGTCAGCCTCGTCCAGCACCAGGTAGGTCACGTTGGACAGGTCCAGCGATCCATCCCTGGCCATATCCAGCACTCGACCGGGCGTGCCCACCACGATGCGCACGGTGGGGGTCTGGTTGAGCAGGCGCACCTGCTCCTGCTTGGACACACCGCCGTACAGGCAGATCATGCCGATACCCATCGACTTGCCCAGCTTGGCCATGTTCTCCTCGGTCTGGATCGCCAGCTCTCGCGTGGGAGCGACGACAAGCACGTTGACCTGTGCACCCTTGGCTTTCTTCTTGCTGCTGCCGTCGAGGACCTTGTGCTTGGTCACCAGGTGCTGGAGGGCAGGCAGACCGAACGCGAATGTCTTGCCGGATCCCGTCTCTGCAATACCGACCACGTCCTTGTTCTGAAGCAGCACTGGCCAGCAGCACGCCTGGATGGGTGTGGGCGTGGTGAAGCCCTGTGCGTCGAGCGTCTTCTTGACAGCAGCGTCGATCTTGCCGTCAAGCTCGCGGAAGTCGACCATGGGCAGCGGCGGGCGCTCGTTGGACTCCTCGGGTGCCTCGATGGTGATGTTGTTCGTCTCGAGGAACGCACGTGCTGCTGCAGGGTTGGTGGGTGTGAATGCCGCAGCCGAAGTAGAGGCAACAGGAGCCGGAGTGGCGGCGGGTGTCGACTCGACCGAGGTGGCGGCGCTTGCCTTGGCAGCGGCCTTCTTTGCCTTCTTCTCCTCCTTCCTGCGCTTCTTGGCAGCCTTGTCATCGTCAGCATCGCCAGCGCCGTCTGCGTCCTCGTCGTCCGCCTGGCGCTTCTTGCTCTTCTTGTCCTTCTTGTCCTTCTTCTCGCTCTTGTCCTTCTTCTCCTTCTTGTGGACGGACTTGACTCGGTCCTCCAGCGCCTTTTCTGTGGTGCTCGTCGTCATCTTTGCGGTTTTCTTTGTGGTTGAGAGAGAGACGGTGGTGTGAAGGACAAGGGCCCACTGCTGAGACTCGAATCGGACTTGGCTCGTTCGAACCCCCCCGCCTTCTTTGAATCCTTCTCAAAATTTCCCGTTGTTCGCATTTTTCCCGGCAAATTTTTGGACCCTGCCCGATGAAGGGTTTCTCAATCGGAGATGCAACTATCATGGATCGGCGATCAAGACGCGGGCTCCATGTCAGACACGGCATGCTCTCCTTTTCTCCACACAAAGCGAGGCCACGGGAACACAAACGTCACCAGCTTAGGCGAGCAGATCCTCCTCCTGACCCTCTGCGGCCCTTGGCCGGCGACCAAGTCTCGCGGCCTCAAGCCTGTCCGTCATGCTGCCTTGTCGTACGCCGTTAAGCGAGATGCAAAGTTGCGCCGCCGCATCGGCCGGACGCTGGCTGTATCATGTCGAGCTTTCCCGCGGTGCCTCCACGGACCGGCAGCTCCTATGTAGTCAACCCGCTGCTCCTGCCTGGTGCGCCCGTGTAACGAAACGTGGCCTCACTCCTCTGGCATTCCGGACGCTAGCCTCAGCACAGTGCGAGTAGTCGGCCTAGAAGCCTAGAATCGCCGCAAACACTTGTCCAAGGCATCCCCAAGATGCTTTGGTGAGCAAGGTCCAGACTCGGCCATCTCCCGTCCTTTGCTTCTTCCAGCAAGGATCGCTTCCGATCCTTAGCTCACCGAGATCAGCATAGCTTATATATCCTAGGCCCTGGCAAACCTCCGCCATGTCGGACATTCCCCTGTCAGATGCTTTCCGGAGAGTATTCCGTTGGAGAACTTCAGCGGCAGGCAAGATGTCGTCCTATTCCAGACACGCTACCGGCCACCTCTTCGTACCGGGTCCGTCGACGAAGCCGCTGCCCATCTGGGCTGCCGTGGTTCCACCCCTGACCTACTATCTCGCCCTACTCCTGCTACCGCCATTGTCCTCCAAGACATTCTCGCGCCCGATTAGGAGAGCAGCGTCTGCAGTACGAACCGTGCTGGCTTTGGTCTCCATCTACACTTTCGCAGCGCTACCGTTCAAGTACTTCTACCCTGGGAGCGCGATTCTGACGTACCAGCTCGGCCTCGTTGGTCTCTACGGTGCCTCCCGCGTGCTCGATATTTTCTTCCTCTCGTACCCGCGCATTCCCCGCCGTATCTTCATCTCGCCAGCGGGAAAGCGTCCGGACGGCAAGGGTGCCAACATCGTCCATCCTTACACGTCTGCGAGGAACGAAACATGGAAGACCGAGCCGCTGCCCAAGAAGCTCGTCTCGTTCGACCGTGCGTGGTGGGCTCTCGACCTCATGATCAGCATGCGAGGCATTGGTTGGGACTTTGCGTCGGCTGATGTTCGCCACGATTCGCACCCGTGGCAGCCTCCATCGTCTGCACAGCTCCGAAGGGCTTTCTTTAAGCTTCTACCAATCCTCGTCGGATGCATCTGGACAATTCATAACCTGCATCCGAAGCACCTCTCCACCCTGAACCCGACCATCTTGGATCTGGATCCGGCCAGGCGGGTTTTATTTGTCGCGGCGACGGGCATCTCGCTCTACACGCTCTTCGACTTTGGCTACACGCTCACCAGTGCATTCGCGCTACCCATTCTCCACGATGCCGTGGTCCCTGCCGTCACGTCAAAGGCCGCATCCAAGGGCAATCGCAAGACAATCAAGGGAGACCGCCTCAAGCAGCTGCGCGGTGCGAAGGGTGGGGGAGATGATTCCGAGACCGAGACTGAAACGGAGGACGAGTCGCCGCTGGCTTTGGAAGCTAGACAGATGCAACACCAGCAGCTGACGCTGCGCAACATCGACTTCTTCCCGCTCCTCAACCCGGCTGGCTACACTCAGGCTACGACGGTGAGGCGATTTTGGAGCTATGCCTGGCACCGCCTCTTTGGACGTCCCTTTGGCGTCTACGGTACGCTTCCCTTCACTTACGTCGCCTATCTGATGGAGGACCTGTGGGAGGGCAAGCTTAACGATCCGAAGCGCAAGCAAGCACGTCGAGAGATCTGGCCGGCTTATCACCCCGACCCCATGCGCGCCCTCGAGCGCGGCAGGGCAGACTGGGCCAAGGTGCTCGGAGCTTTTACAGCGTCCGGCTTCATCCATGCTGTCTCGGAACGCGCTGCACTCGGCGGAAGAATTGCTGTGCCCGTCACCAACATCTGGCTCGAAAGGGCCCATGCCAGGGGTATGGGCCATGAACTTCGTGCACACCCCAGCTTGGCAGCTCTAGGTATCTTCAAGTGGAGCCCGCTGCAGTTCGTACCGCCCATCTCGGGCGCGGGCGAGTTCAGCTTCTTCTTCCTCAACGGTGTCGCCGTAGTCGTAGAGGGAGCAGTGGCGCGGTACGTCGAAAAGACGAGGAAACGCTCCAGCGTCGACGACAAGTACTTTAGCATGTGGTACGACCGCCCCATCTCGATCGTCTGGACGCTCACAGTGCTGCTGTTTACCGGGCAGGCGTTTGTGGAAGGCTGGATCCGCAGCGGCATCAGCAGAGAGATCGCGCTCGTCCTTAGTTGATCGAGGGCTACCAAAAATGTAGTAAGAGACATTGTATGTGTGCTTGATGTACGCTCGCCTCGTTGTAATTGCATTCGCATCCTGATACCGTGACCATCGCCAAGCATGTGCAGTCTGAGAAGACCTACCCGACATGATAGTGGCATGACGATGTGTCGATTTTTGGACCCTTGAATTTTTGGGCCGGATTTTTTGCCCTCCAAAACGCCGAAGAAGAAAGTGGCATCTCATTTTCTTGCAATCTGGTCCACCTTCTTCCAACATTCCAGGCTCATCGTGCCTCTGCTTCATCTCCCGGGCTTCCGGCATACAAGGCAGCATCAATGTCGGAGAACATTGCCGCGTCGCTCTTCACTGCATCGACTGACCTGTGTGCTGACTCGGTCGAGTCGGTGCCAGGATATCGCGGCCTGTTCGCGCTGGCCACCTATCAGGTCGACAAGCACGAGCAGGAACAGGCACAAACAGCCTCATCCTCTTCTGCGGCGAAGCAACCTGACTCAACACATGCAGATAAGGACGAAGATGAGGAGAAGCAAGACCAGGCAAACGCTTCGACCAGCCCGGCGTATACCCGACGTGGAACGTGCAGCCTGTACTCCGCCGGTTCGGACCTCGAGACGCGCGGTCAAGTCCGATGCAGCAAGACAGACATGATCGAGACGCCAGCTATTCTAGACACGAAGTGGTCACTCACACGGTCTGCTCTCTCAGAAGCTCCGCACGGTGATGCTCGCAGGATACTTGGCATTGCCAATGCGAAAGGGCAGGTGACACTGCATCTCCTTAGCCATCTCACGACTGGAGTTTCATCCTCGGAAGCGCGATTGCAGTCGCTCGGGGAACTGCACTTCAACGACCGCAGCGCGCTTTGTCTTAGTCTGGACTTCTCCGACCGTCGAGGTGGCTTTGCAGGAGGATACAACATGAACGAGCTTGCGAGCGATACCTCGCTCATCGTTTCGCAGAGCGACGGATCGCTTGCATACCTTCCCAGCCTCGAGCTTGCATTGAGCTCCGTCGATTCTGTCGATGGTCTCGAGCTTGCATTGAGCTCCGTCGATTCTGTCGATGGTCTC